GTGTTTTAAATCCATCTTTCATCAAAGCTCTGGATTCAGACTGGATGTGCTTCATGTTCACTTGAAAAGAGAAAGACAAACTTGTGTTGTGTTTGATATTAATTTTATTTTTAAGTAAAATCTGAAAGAAAGCAGTTTAATCATTAATTAGTCTAAGAATGGTGTCTGTGCAACTCATGCATCCATCACAATAACCCTTAATACAAAACAACCATTACTGCCACATGACTCACTGACTCCAGTTCTGCGCGTGATTTGACTAAACTTTTGTCTCTACAGTGTTTTTAGCTCAATCCTACAGATGATTAAAACACATAGACTTTTTAGGTATACATTACATGTAACCGAATACACCCTAATGAATGTAAAATACATATATACACAAATATGCACAAAAAAACAATTACATATGATATGCGTTAAAAGCACAACTCTGTTGACTGTTGTGCTCAAGATCATTTGCAAAGGATCCTATAACCTCTAAAACTTCCAGAATAAAGCCTATTTGACTGTAGCAGTCCCTCAGAAGTATTCTAGTAAATCTAATGGGCTTTGAGATCGCAGGCACAATGAAAGCAAACTGTGTGTGGTGTGGTGTGTTTGTTTGTTTTTTTGTCTTCACTGTAATAGATTTCTATACCTGTGAACTACAACTATGTAGATGGCTATAAACCTTTTATTTAGTTTTATTTACACTATTTAAACATTTTAATCACAATATTGCTTCATTAATCTGAAGCTCAGTTCCTCTTGGCCACACTCAGATAGACTTTCTCAATTTCAATGTCAGCTGGACAGGTCTGGCTGAACTCTTCTCTCTCATATGCATTCTGCAGGTAACGCCACACTCCAGTGAACTGAGCAGGAATCTCAAAATTACAGTACTTTTTGGCAGCAACCTACAAAAGCAAAAAACAGAATGAACACATTTATAAATATGTATTTAAAATGAAATAGCTTTATTAAATCACACAGTCCCGTGTATGTGTGTATGTGTGTGTGTGTGTGTGTGTGTGTGTGAACCACAGAGGCATATCACCTTGATGACGTGCAGCTTTGGTAACAAGTTGCAGTCTGCCAGTGTCAAGCGGTTGCCATCAAGGAACTTTCTTTTGGATTCGCTGATGTTTTGATCCAGCTCATCCTGAAGCGGAGTGTTCAGATAGTCATCCAGGCGCTTAAACTCCCTCAATAAGGCTTTTTCGTGGACTGAGGAATCAAACAGTAGAGAAAAAATATATTTAAGAGTGATATAGTACATAGTCTAATTGTGATGCCATGGTGTCTACATGCGCAGGCATACGTAGATACTAATTTAGTTTAGTTCCATTATGTAGGCCTAGTAATTGAATCTAATTATGTAGCTAAATATTTTCTAAATATCATCTTTGCTGATACAAACAGTGAAAATCTTCATAAAACTCTTTATTATCACCCACTGTCTCAGTTCCAGCCAGTCCGCGCATTAATAGTGTGGATTTTCAATCATGTTTCTGCAGGTCACATCAGTAGATGGCGACAAAATACAGTCTTTATGAGTAATTGAACCATTCATTCATTGAACCGATTCATTTCAAAAAGCTGATTCATCTAGACATGCCATGCTACTGTTCAGTGTTGCCAATTTAGCTACTTTGTAGCTAGATTTAGCGACTTCCCCGCTCCTTTTGAGACTTTTTTCAAAAGTTTAGGGACAAATATAGCAACTGCTTGGACAAACCTTATCTAAGTTCTCATCTTGCCCACTGATCTATGTTCATCTTTATATAGATCAGTGAATTTGCCATTGTGATGTCATCTAGTGACATTTAGCTACCAGTTTTAGCTACTTTCAATTGAAAGCAGTTGGTAACACTGCTGACTGTTATTTTGAACGACTCATTGAATCATTCACTGAACTGATTTGTTCAAAACACTGTGTCATGCAGGAACGAAGCACTTCAATAATGTTGGGGATACTACGTTTCTGCTGTGGCTACGTTTGGAACTTTCTTCGCAATATTGTGTCTCAAATGTTACTTGATATTAACTTTTTATGTATTGTTGTATAAAAGCAATATCACACAATCGTGTTACTACCTCTGTGGCTGTGCTACTCAAATAAGGTCCTAAAAATGTCTCAAGCAGATTTCACAACGGTATCCTTCACGTTGACTTGACCAACAGAGAACTGTTTGGTGTGAAAGTGACTGAACTTTTTGAATTTTCATTAATGTGACTGCACCTTAAGACACCACACACATTTTGAACTAGCAAAAAGCATCATGAATCTGTGGCATAAAGTAGTTCTAGACACTGAGTTGTTATGACCGTGTAAATAAGTAAGGAAAACCATGTAATTTTTAATTTCTTGTATGTCTTGGCTGTGAATGAAACTTACAAGCATTGTTTGGGTTGTTCTTGATGAACGCGGAGAACTTGGCAAAAATGTCAGCGCCAACATCAAAAGACTCTTTGTAGCGGGGACTGAGATGAGGATAGCTGATAGGATAAGACAGAGAGAAATATTTATAGCCAGTCTTCACACACCCAATATATATACATCCAACAACATTCACATTATTATGCTGACATTTAAAAAGTCTATACATAATGCATGTTAAATATGCCATAGGGTTTTATTTTTAAAATATTTTGTCAGTACACTACTGTTCAAAATGTTAATAATTTTAGTACTTTTGACAGAAGTCTCTTATGCTCATCAATACTGTTTATTTGGTCAAAAATACAGTAAAATACAGCTATTTGGTCAAAAATACAGTAAAAAATACAGCTATTTGATCATAACTACAGTAAAACAGTAATATTGTTTTTTTGATTATTAAAAAGTAAAAAAAACAAAACAATTTAATGCATGTTTGTTGAATAAATGCATTGATTTCTTAAAAAAAAAAAAAACGGTACATGATTTTGGCCAGTGCTGATATTCTAATATCTTTGAAACCATTAAAATAAAATTATAAGTCAGCAAGAACTATCCTGAAGTACTGGGTGGAAAGTCTTTGATATGGATGATTTATTAATACTATGTCAATGCATCAGGTATTTCTTAAATAAGTGCAGCTGTGTGATTTATGACAGAAAAACACTAGAATAATATGCTTATGAAACGTTTTTTTTTGTCAAAATGAAGCCAATATGTTTGATATGGCATTACATGAGCTAACAGACATGCACAATACCGGGGAGGGGCGAGGGTGGTCTCCAGGAACTCTTCGATCTTAATGAAGTCGGTCTTCAGCGTGCCATTGTACAGGAGGAAAGGAGGGTTGGTACCTGGAGCTAAGTCTTTTAGCTCTTCTGGCTTCCTAAACAACACAGGGTGGAGCAAAGGAGAAGGAGTGTAAACCACAGGGTGTGGACATGGTCAATATGAAGTCAGTTATTGTACAAGGAGAGTCTTTGAATGAGACCTAAAGCGATTAATGCTTCTTTAAAACAATATTAAACTCAGTTTAATCTCTCAAAGCACACGGATATGGGAGTGTCCGGCTGGTAAATGGGTGAAAGCTGCATTTGCTTAAGAAGATTTAGATGAGAACAGTGCAATGGGAAAGTTCATACTGCCTTGATCATGTTTGTAGTACTTTGACCGCCCCCAGTGTTATCAAATTCAGTCCGGTGCTGGCCCACAGTTCCTCAGATTTCGCTATTTGTCTACTGAATTCCATTCCATTAGATTGCCTTATCGTCATGTTTCCGAGATATGAAAGCTTAATTTGACACTCACTTCCTCATGTCAACAGTGGTTACTGTGAACTTCACTCCTTTCAGCCAAAGAACCATGAAGAGTCTCTGGCAGAAGGGACAGTTCCCCACATTCTCTCCGTCATGACCCGCCTTGAGACGAAAAAAAGAGAAATCCATGGTCAGTATCACATACGCACAGACTAGACACTAGGTCACATACAGAAGGTCACATATAGGTCACATATAGAAGCACACACTATAGATTTCCTTAACCCTCATGTTCTGTTAAGATTTACCGTACTGTTTTTTATGTTTGAGGTCCCAGAGACCCTGTATGTATAAAATAATTAATGGCACATTTGACTTTCTTTCTTCTGTGGAACATAAAAAAAGATCTTAGTGTACAAGAATAATGCATCAGTGTCAATAAACTTAAAGTCAATGGGGTTCAGTGTTGTTTCAGTGCTCTTCAGATTCTGGAAAGACATGAGGGTGAGCATGATGAAAGAATTTTGATTTTTTTTTTGGTGAATTATCCCTTCAATCAAATCCCAATAGAGGAAGATAAAAAAAGAAGTACATCAAAGTATTACTATGGTTGCATGCATTGCACAGCCGCCTATTGCTAGAAAGCTGCTTAAGACGCAAAATGGCATTTGTGTTTATATACGCTATTACTCTGTAGTATACACTCAGTATACTAATATAAGTTTGCGGTTGGTACTTTTTTTATGTTTTGGAAAGAATGATCTTATACTCATCAAGGCTGCATTTATGTAATGGAAAAACAGTAATACTGTGAAATATTATTACAGTTACTAATATCACTATTACTCTAGTCTTCACTGTCACATAATCCTTCAGAAATCATTTTAATATGTTGATTTGGTGCTAAAGAAACTTGTATTATTTTTATCAATGCTGAAAACAGTTGCGCTGCTTCGTATTTTTGTAGAAGCTGATCTTTTTTCAGGATTCTTTGATGAAAATAACAGCATTTAACATTATAAATGTTTTTACTGTCACTTTTAATCAATTTAATACATCCTGTCTGAATAAAAGTATTATTTTTTTTACTAACCCCAAACTTTTAAACAGTACTGTATATAAGTGTTTTGCTTTCTCCACAACTTTCCATTTCTTTAGTTGTAGGTTTTATCCACACTTATATGTGTACTCTTCAAAAACATCTTAGAATGCCTTGCATGCATTTACATGACAGAAATCCAGGTATTAAACTCTGAGAAAGGCATGTTACACTGAGAAAAAAACAAATCTGTAGAAAAACGGAAAAGGTACTGGCAGGCACTGGCTTTCTGCCAGGACATTTCCTTTAACCCTAAAACACAACACAATGCAATTCATCATTTAAAATACTCATAAAACACCTGTGAAAAATCAATACAGAAAATTCCTTCATATTAACACAGTACATTGGGTCATATTTTTGGGCCCTGACTTTTTTTTTTTAGAATGTAGCATAAGAAAACAGCATTTGTGTTTACATGATGTTTCAGACTGCTGCTCTTTTGAAAAAGCCATTTTCTTAAGTGTACATAAACATAGTCAGTAGATATTTAAACACCATTGGGGTCTCTGAGACCCCCAGCAGTGTTATTATTGATGGATAGCTTTTATTTTTAACTAAATGTGACCCTCTCTACAAAAAGAATAGGACATAAATAGCACATGTATTTTGTGGGTGTGGGTGGACAATTCAAGAGCTTGATCCAAATAGAGGAAAAGCAGGAATTGTCTAGAAGAGGGAGATAACAGATCTGAACAATGCTTCTATCGCCCATGATGCACATCTTTTCAAATTAGAACATTATCTAGCGTAGAACGGAACCATACCGCCAATCCAAACTGTATGCTAATTGTCAATCATCTTTGACGATAGTGGTCCTGACAGAAATAATTATAAATAACTTGGTGACCATCTTCAAAGCTTTGATAGTCTTTGGGATCTAAAGGTCACCACTCATCCATATCCTACTCATTTAGTTCATGAACTGTAGCTAAACTGGTAAAACATGTTAATGGGATCTACAGAATAGGAAATGTAAGCATGTTTATGGGTGTGACAACAGGGAGCCAAGAGCTGTCAGTCTTTCTGTGTGTGTGTGTGTGTGTGTGTGTGTGTGTGTGTGTGTGTGTGTGTGTGTGTGTGTGTGTGTGTGTGT